AAGCGAGCTGCAAAGGCAAGACGCTGGTCTGAGATTCGACGCATCTTTACCATTCTACGCTTCTGCTCCGAAATCGTCTCGAAACCTTCGGTTCAAACTCTGCACCATTTTCGACCTGGCTTTGGAGCTTGCTTGTATTTTATGTGCCTGCCTGCAACGCCTTGTGGTGAACCGAACATTGATGAACCTCAACGAAAAGTGCGTTCGAAGTGTGGTCGAGTCCGGGAACCATCCGAGATCGAGTTGAGCTCCCTCCAGCCGCTGCCTGACCTTTATTGATCAAGCAGCATGACTTACCACATGTTGATCCCGCAACTCGGGCAACTGGACATTACACCACGTTTGAATTGCCATTCTCCCACTTTCTGCGCGTGGTGAACTAGCAGATGTTTCTCTTTCTTTCTCGCTCTCGCTCTCTCTCTCTTTCTCTTTTTCTCTCTCTCTCTCTCTCTGTCTATGTCTCTCTCCCTTTCTCTCTCTCTCTCTCTCTCTCTCTGTGTTCTCACACACGCAATTCACACATCTCTGGCACTAGCATTCCCATTGAAATGCGCTGAGTTGGGATCTCTTGTGCCTTGTTGCAGGAAAAGCCGGCGACACGCCTGGGCACGGGCACACGGGCGGCCGGCACTCTCGCTGCAGCGGTGGCAGCACTGACAATGCAAGGCAGCCCTGGCAGGCCTCGGCACAACTCGTCACCTCCCCCACAAAACCGACCGGCGATGACTCCTCGTGGCTGATCACGGCTGCTTTTGGGCTCATAAGTTCTTCACGAAGGGCATGGTGATCAATAGCTGCGATTATCGAGAGCCGATTTCTCCACGATGTTTCTTAATACCCGGGGTCCATAGGACAGGAACCACATGATTTGGGGAACCTTCCTTTCTCACGTTGCCTGACAGCCGGATCGGCTTGGAGATCGAAGAAACCGTGCTGATGAAGCTATCTTGTTCACCATGCATCGCATCCATACTTTCGGGTTCAGGAGTTGCCATGAGTTACTGTACACCTGTTATAGGAATATCGCGAATCTTTCAGGGTGCGACCACTTGCCAGCACGGAAAGGAAATGATACCTGGTTATCTTGCTGTCTGTTTACCTGGCGGCATGACCTTCAACATCAGTGTCATCCTCTGCAGGTCGCCATCCACACCGAGCGGCATCGCCTCGCTTTCCCAGCGGCTATTTGCGGCAGCTGCTGGGTCCATCTTTGGGATAGAAACTTGGGAGGCTTTGCACGTCCCCTTTCCGATGCTGGCAGCTGCAGGCACAAGTTGATGACAACCGCAGTTGTGGTAATTAAAGGCAATGCCAGTATCTGTTCTGACTTTTTTTGGTGGCTCCGTTGTTGGAGTGCCTTTGTCGGGTAGATAGACCAACGCCGCCCTGCGGATTCGAGATCTTGGGGTCGACACACATGCCGAAGCTCGCCTAAGGCCAGAAAATCACGAAATCGGCGAACAACTAGACACCGGATGTTTTGGAACGGAAACCTGGAAGGTTGCCCTTCGAAGCAGCTCCCACAAGAGGGAATTGAGACCACTAGCTAAGATCATACAGACCTGCTGCTGCTTTCAGGTTTAGGACTTTCGGTGACTTTCCTTTGTGGGGGCTTAAGAAATGGCAGCACTTGGTTGCTTTTCTTCTTCTTCTTCATCCTCTGTTTTACCGTCTTGCATGAGTCAAAGTGGCGTCGTCTTTATCGGTTTAATTGGTCTTACGGCGCTATCATCGTCTATGTGAAGCACTCAGGCCATGGCAGAAGCAGAAGATGCTGCCGGGGATTCCCGAACCCCTGGCTCAATCTTCGAACCAGGGTTTCCGGATTGCATGCTTCAGGGTTTAGAGGGCTGTAAACTGGGCTGAGGAGACAGGTTCGGGTAGGACAGTAGGATGCTGGCTCGTTCTTCGCAAGCCGAAGACGGACAGTATACGAGACCTTTTTCGTAACAGTTCGACACCTGGAAGATCTTGTAGTATAGACTCCTGAGCAGACAGAAAACCTCGGCAACCTATTTCGAACACAGGTTCCTTCCAACCCCTCCTAACGCAGGATAGAGAGAAGACCTCAATTAAAAAGGGCACCCCTTTCTCCTTGGGCTCCTCTTTGCAGTGGAACTCCCAAGGCCAAGACCCTGATCTCCGCTTCATTTAGGGCCAGGGCTTTCCCCGTGCAGGCCTGATGTAGAAGGGGTTTTGGGAGTTCTGGGTCCTTAAACCCGGCTCCTTCCCGCTTGAGGCGGTTCCCGGTGACTTCGTGAGTGCTTGCTTGCGAAGCTTGAACATACTGTAGGCGTCCTTTTTGAGAGATTCTGAGTCACTGGTTTGGAATCCTGCGCGGGGCCTGAGCTCATCAACCTCAAACCGTCAACGCCAAGCCTGAAGCTTCCGCAAATCCGCCATCTACCGGACCCATCCGTGCCCCTAAACCCGAGCCCGAAGATGGAAGCCGGCGCAGCCAGGATTCCGGGTGACTGACAAGGACCGGGCTGTCCAAAGCAACCCTTAAAGAGAAGCTTCACAGGAGCTCGCAAAGGGCTCTTGTGGTTTCTGGGATTCTAGGAGTTTCCAGACCCATGGGAATTCACTCAAAACACCAGGTGGGCAGATAGTAAACTTGAGCACATCGTGTAGTTACGATCCCACGACGGAACAACAACAAGCATGATTAGCAGGCATACAGAGAGAGAATCCCTAACCAAAACCTAGACCCTCAACCCCTGACTCTAAAGCCTAAAGCTTAAAGCAACACACCCTAAAGCTTGCAGCCCAAAGCAAACTTCTTTCCTGTGTTCTTCAGGAGCTCCGTTCGCTCGCGGCTTTGTGGGCACGTGGAGAGGGATTAGAACTGCGAGTCCACTTGAGCCCCGGCCACACTTTAGGGTTCTGTTATTTACGGTGTAGTGGTTCAGAGTTAGAGGTTCTGCTGTTTAGTGTTTGCCTGAGGTTTAGGATTGTGGGTTTTGGGTTTTGCATCTCACACACACACACATGCACATGCGGAGGTGTTCCGGTTCGATCCTCACATCGTGGCACGACACCTCCAAAACGCACGCCAAAATCCTGGGGCGGTTCCACCACAAGTCTCGCGCCCCTTCTTGTGCCGTCTCCCTTTTTTTGCTTGGGTTCTCGCTGTTGCTTTTTGCTTGTCGCCGGCGCAAAAAAATTCTGCCTCTGAGTCCCTTCAGTTTCAGCTCCTCGGGGCCCATTTTTTTGCGTAGAGGCCGAAGAGGGGCCGGAAAAGCGCTTCGATGGGACACGTCGCTGTTGGGATCTTAAGGCTGAAGCCGTTGTGGGCATTTTTACCAGGCCTTGAAGCCCTAGCTTGATGACCCCGTCGACGAACCTGGTTCATCAGGGGGTTGTTCGGGGTAGTCGTTGACGTCGTCAAGCTAGTTCTTTCTTGCGAGTCCTGCGAGCTGCACTCTCATGTCTTGCAGCCTATGCGGTGTGCGCCTTGTGAGAGAGTATGTTGCCCGGGACTTGCCCCTCGTCAG